TTGCCCTTATTTAAAAAAATTATTTTCAATGTCGAATTGAATTGAAATAGAATTGAATAAATAGTATCGTAGCATTGCGAAAAAACGGTAAGATTGTGCATTTAAATATTATCCTCTAAAACCAAAGCTGATATAAGGTAGAGAGAAACGATTGGGGTTTGGCTAGTTTGGTTGCTTTTTTCTAAAGTCAAACCTGCGGTTGTTAAATTATATGTAAAGTCTACAGCTACTAAACAAATTGAAGAGCTCAACCGAAAACCTAGTAAGCCAAAGCAAATTCTGTTAATGGAAGTAATGCCAAACAAAAGGGAGAAGAAATTAACAAATTTAAACAATTAAAACAATTAAGTGCTTCCACACTATTTGCAGAGCAGTAACAAGCGAGTAAAAAAGGAGGGCTACGAAAAAAAGATGATAAGTAAATAGCATCAAAAAAGTGCCGAAAACATTTTGCAGGACAAAGCGAGCGGCAAATAAAAATGTAAATCATAAAAAGCGTAATGAAAATAAAAATCCTCAATTTGTATGCTGTCGCATATTCCACAATGCTTAAGCATGGTCCAAGGAGGGGTTGGGTTCTAGTGAGTCCTCCGGCACCAAAGAAGAGTGGAGCTGTCATAAATTCTGTCAGCAGATTCGGATCCAAGTCCGATTCCGAATGGGTACAAATGTCTTTACAAAGGACATGTGCGCCATCCGTCTATTATTGATGCCCGGTTTCTGAACATCCACTGTCATCAAAGAGCCCGATTCAATTGTCTGAGACAAATGTCTTTGGCAGAAGGTGAAGAAAGAAGTCTTATTTTGCATATGCAAACGCCCGGGGCATCCCATTGAGGAGGGACAGCCGCACAAACCGCTCGGACATGTTGCACATTACCCTTTCAGTCCGCCCACCTCTTTGGGGGAAAACTTTTTCCACTCGCCCCCAGTTCTTTTCACACTTTTCTTTTTGCTGCCGGCCATGGGCAATACATCTTGGGCCACAAAACACAAAATCGTCTTAAGTATTTTGTGTGGTTTAAATAAAGTAAAAATAATAATGCAAAAATAAAACCCAATGCCCAGATGTCCTTCTGCGAGTGTGGGAGTGTGTAAAAGGATAAGCGTGCTACATCCGCTTAGCGTGGTCTTCTTCTAGTCCTGGCATACCCTAATGTCTATTTCGAAGTCATTACAAATGAAATGATAGTTGGAATGTGGAAAATAAAATCATACAAATTTCAAATGTTTTTGTATGTTACTAACGTTAAAATTTAGTTTTTACTTATATCAAATATAGATATATCTCCCAAACTTCTTTTTTTATTCTGCACCCTTTTTATTAAATTTAAGAACAGATACCAAGCCAAATGCCTTGGTTTATTTACCCTATTTGTATTTTTTAGTTATGTCTCCAAAGAGCATTCAATTGTCACTCTAGAAAGTTTCTAAATTGAATTTGTCGTTTTCTTTACTCCTTTCTTGCCATTTATTTTTGGGTCTCGATGTTGCGTAAATGATTTTATTTCGTTGCTGTAAAATTTTTGATGTACTATTATTCTATGCCCAAGTCCCCAATGTCCATCATTGTTTTTTTATAGACACATTGCTCAGCAAAAGGGTTAATTCCCCGCACCCAGGCCTCTATGACCAACAACAAGGAGTGCCTCATCGTCACCATGACATGCGAATTAGCCTTGGCCAAAAAGGTGGGCTGCATATGGGATATGCGATGTGTGATGTGATATGGGTTATGGTACTCGTATATGGGCTGAGCACGAGTGTGTGAGTACAAGATCCACGCAATCTTGATGATGTGAATTGTGGCACTTGTCCATCCAATTTGGAGCGTGGGTCGGCATGGCATACTACAGGATTGATGGCTGTTTGCTAATTTTCAGTTTGTGCATACGCCTAGCGGGTGCGAGGAGAATACCACTTATAGGCTTGTAATCCATGACAGCTACAAAAGGATGAGCCAAAGGAATCGATGATTAAACGGAACGGTCAAGATTTAAAACACAATGGATGGTAAACTGACAGCGTTCGATGTTAAGGTAGTATAAAATGCAGTTCCAGTTTTCACTGTCGAATATGGTAGTCGAATTCGATTTTCCAAAAATTTATTATTTGACGAAGTATAAATATTAATATTAATTTATCATTAATATATTATATATTATTATAATATAAAAATATTTATCAAAAAGTTTTTCAAGTTACTATAAAACATGCCACTTTTAGGATTCTAAAAATCAAAACAGGTCTGAAAATGAATTAGCCTATTTTTTATTTAACAAATTTATCCATTTTGTTAGATATTTATATTTTTGTTATTAGCAACGTCCGAATTTGACCAAGGTAATGCCTTTTCCTTTTCCTGCGCACTCGAGGCGGCAAGGGTTGGAGTAGGTCTTAGAATCCGATCCACAGACTAGGAATTTTTCCAGAGTACACGCACAAAATTGGGCCGCAGAAAGGGCCAAAAGTGCAAGCATGCAGAAAGGCATCAGAACGAGGTAACGCATGGTATTAGTTTTGTACTAATCAGACAAGACTGAAGACTGAACGTTCTATAAATCATTTATATATGCATCAGGAAGTGGTATTTATATTAAGCGGTAAATTACAATTTTAAAATACGTGCAAGTCTTAAATGTTTACGTTACGTTTTTTGTCAAGTCTAGGTATTGTATAACGTAAAAAGTGGTATTTTTAAGTTTTTAAGTTCTAAAATAAAAAAGCACAAACCATTTTTTCGTGGCGTGCTCTAAAATAATTCATATCCGATATATTTGTACAAACCTTTTATCGTAGAGTAAAAGGGTATATTAGATTCATCGAAATATGGTAGAAGAAAGCGTTTTTGATCCTATAAAGTATATATATTCTTGATCAGGATCACTAGCCGATTCGTATAAACGCAGAGATCTCGGATTTTTCTAAGATTTTATAAAAGTGTAAATGTAAATGGTTTTAAACCGGACCATCCATTAAAAAGTTATAAGCAATAAAGATGTCGACGCTCCCATTAGATGAGCAACAGGTATCTGATAGTCGAGGCAATATACTATAGCGTTATATCTTGTTTTTGTATTGGGTGCCTTGAGTGAATCAAGGTTGAGAAATGGCTTTCAGATTAATATGTGATGACGGAACACAAAATGAGAAAAGAATTGTGGCGTGTGCCAGCGGAACTTTTATATACCTTTAAAGGTAATCAGGTATAGTATACGCCGATTATTTCTCAATTTCACAGTGACTAATTGGTTAGGTAAAGTGTTATCCTATAAATCTGCGACAACAATGAAGGTATCATAATTAAAAACAATCCTTTTTTTAGCTATTACTGATTAGGATAAAGATTAGATTCCACAATTTTTATATATGGGTATATGAACATTAGGAATGTCCTTAGGCAATGCCCTGATGTTAACAGAAACCTCTTATTGGGTTTCCTTTAATTTGGCTAGCTAATAGTAAGTAATTAAAGAGTGACAAAAAAACAAAAGAGGACAAAAAAAAAGAAGTGGCATTTTAAACTTCTCAAAAAAATCACACTTTTGCCAGGAAAACCAGTGGGGATACAACCCACTCCACTCCCACCCACTCTCCCAGGGGGGGTACGCCATTTCAATTTCCACTTCCCAGACTTTCCCAGCATCCGTCGGAACTGAGCAGACCAGAGATACCAAGTCAGGCCACGAGCATAACGTGCAGCTTTCCAGCTTTCGCCGCAATCAATTTTACGGGTGCACAGCAGCAACAACCAGGAACAGCCTCGGATGCCTCGAATTGCGGCAGTGGAATTAGAGCAACCCCGAGCACAGCCACGCCAAACCACTCAGCCACCACCCATCCACAACCACATCCACATCCACATGCAGAGCCACCTCATCACGAGCAGCGTTAGACACGCCAAAAGGAGGTGGAGGAGGAGCAGGAGGACACGGAGGAGGAGAAGCGCACGTGGTCCTGCTCACATGAAGGTATTAGCCCGTAACATCGCTGCATGGCATGGGTCAACGCCACGCAGACGACTCGAGTGCATCCTTCTATCTATGTAGGTATAGATACGTACGTATGCGTCGATATCCAGAGATCCGTCCTTTAATACTACTAAATACAAAAAATCCATTGTTCAAATTGACCGAAAACACCGTTACAATTCCCCAAGCAAAAGTCGTGGTCAATTCTACCATGAACACAGTAAATGTTACGAAACTTTTTAACTGACGAGTTAGTGCAGCTCGGTTAATTACATGTAATCTAATTAGGCTGCTCGACAGTGCTGACAACAACCACAGTTAGAAACGGTTCAAAAAAATTAAAATAAAAAATAAAATATATAAAATATTTTTTTAAATTATCTTATTTTGAAAGAACCGGTGACTGAATTGAAGTTAGGTAAATTATTATCAAAAATACAGCAAGCACAGTTTGGCCTTAAGTCCAACCAGCTAAACGTTATATGAATGCGACTGAGTATAATGATACCCATTACTCGTAAAGTAAAAGGGTATATTGCTTTCGTCAAAGGAAGCGTTTCCGATAATGGATGAACGCTGAGATCTCGGAAACTATAGGAGCTACAATACTGGGATTAGGCATGCAGATTCCTGAGATTCCTGCGCAGCGCAAGTTTGTTCTAGCAATGTGCCACGACTACTCTAACGCCCACAAACCGCCCAAGCCTGTGGTGCCCACAATTTTCATGCTAGATTAAAAACTGAAATGTATTAGTCTCGTCAATACCTATCGATTGATCCAAAAAAGTTTGCCACGCCCACTCTAACGTCCACAAACCGCCAAAGCCTGTTGCGCCCACAATTTTCATGCCAAAAAATACATATATTGAGATCGCGGGTAGGTGGCGCATTTCAATCTTTGCTGCTTGCATATCTCCATTTCCCTTTGTCCCTTTAGTTGAGTAACGGGTATCCGATAGTCGATGTACTCGATTATAGCGTTCTTTCTTGATTTTCATTTAACAAATTTATCCATTTTAGGTGTCTTTATAATTGATTTGTTAGATCTTTATTTTTCTGTTACTAGCAACGTCCTTGCTTGACCAAGGTAATCCCTTTTCCTTTTGCTGCGCACTCGAGAAGGCAAGGGTTGGAGTAGGTCTTAGAATCCGATCCACAGACTGGGTCAAGTTCTCTAGTACACGGACAAAGTTGGGCCGCAGAAAGGCCCAAAAGTGCAAGCACGCAGAAAGGCATCAGAACGAGGCAACGCATGGTATAAGTTTTATACTAATCAGACAAGACTGAAGACTGAACGTTTCATCACTCATTTATATATGCACCAGGAAGTCGTATTTATTTAAAGCGGTAAATTACAATTTCAAAATACATTAAAATCTTTAATGGTATGCTTCGTTCTAAAATAAATAAAACACAAACCATTTTTTCGGCGCGTGCTCTTAAATAATACCTATCCCATTTATGCAAACCTTTTATCGTAGAGTAAAAGGGTATATTAGATTCGTCGAAATCTGGTAGAAGAAAGCGTTTTTGACCCTATAAAGTATTTATATTATTGATCAGGATCACTAGCCGAGTCGATCTAGCCATGTCAGTCTCTCCGTATAAACGCGATCTCGGATATTTCTATGATCTTATATAAGTGTAAATGTAAATGGTACAAATCGGACCATCTATTAAAAAGTTATAAGCAATAAAGGAGTCGACGCTAGGTGGCTCTGTTTCGGGGTGTGCAGTATTGTCGCTCCTTAGCTGAGTAACAGGTATCTGATAGTCGAGACTTCTACTATACCGTTCTGTCTTGTTTTTTAATAAGTCCAAGTGCCAGAATACCCTGAAAAATACGTTCTGCCAAAATTAACCAATATGACAAAACACAAAGAAAACTTAGATGTTTCTATATTTTGGTTTGGTTTTTGGCTCTATTGAAAAATCGTTAAAATACTATTTGTTTCTTATAATAATGTGTTATTCATATATTTGTGCTACAATGAATTTCTGTATCAACAATTTGATTAATAGTGCGCCTGCAGGGCGAACGCACCCTGTACAATGATGTATTGTGTAGGTCATTCGTCTCTGTTATGGGTTCGGTCAGCATTCTTTCCCTTCTGTGTTCGCCTTGTTTGTAGATGTTCTCCGTATCTGGTGTTCCAAGCTATTCGGGTAAAGTGTGGATGGAAGTCCATTCCGTAGGTGGTTCGATTTGTCCGGCAGGGAAGCGTCAGCTCTTTAATGCTGGCGTCCGCCATTCTGCCAGTCTCGACTGAAGCGCGACTTTCCGGTCGGACAGCATCCGCCGGGACAACAGTTGCCACCAGGGCAACCCAGCCGGCTCTGGCCTTGTGCCCCATTGCCATTGCCACCCGCCTCCATTCGGGGGCACTGGCCATTGGGGCAACTGCCACAATAGGATCCACAGTTGCCACTCCTTGGACTCTGGGAGTAGCCGCCGTTGTTGGAACCGCAACCGTTGTTACTATAAAATCCGTCCATGTTTACTGGAAAATGTATTTTAGGAACCTTATTTTTTTCTATATTATTTTTGTTACTGACCTAAAACTTTAGAATGGTGCCGTACAAATCAAAACTCAGATTTTTATATAAAATTTTTATAAAACTTTTTTGGTGTTTTTGTAATGGACTTCCGATATGTTTGAAAAGGCCGGATCGAATGAACTACAAGCAATCCCAACCTCGAAAGGCAGAGAAACGAAAGCCCAAAGCCTACTTTTTTCCAAGAAACTTGCTTTTCGAATTCAAGTTCGAACTTGAGATTGGGCGCCTGCGCAGGTTTTCCGGAAAGTGGTGAGTTTTCTCTGCCTCGGGGGCGTGGCCTAGCCATTTGGGAAACCGGAACCATCCAGGGTTGTCAGAGCGAAAGAGAACGCGAATTCTAGAGGGGTGGGGGTATAGAAAAATGCGACTTCTTGATGCCGCAAATTTGCCATGTGTGTGGAGAGCGGGGCGGTGAAGGGGCGTGGGTGGTTCAGGGTCGATTGGATGGGTGGGTGGTTGGGGTACGACCGACGGCGACGTTCACGTCGTAGCTGCAAATGACTTTGCGTTCTGACTGGTTAATATAACCGCAGGATCGTATTTGGAAGGTGAAATTTCGTGGGGGGGGCCGGGACCTGCCTGCCTTATATACGACATAGTGGGCCGTCCATGTAACCACAGCCAGCCAAATGGGCTGTGTAATGGACACGGGGCTTAGCCTAAACCCCTCGCCGATCCGAATCGACTTACAAGACTCCACCCTCTAAGCCGAGTGTCATGTGCAAAAGACGTTGAGGCTGTATGTATGGGTGAGCTCACCCCGCTCACACTGTCGCAAAAGTCACTTCAATTTGGATGAGAGTCAGTAAATCAACCCCTATCAACATACCAACAACCGACCGAGCTCCGATTGCGATTGCCATTGCGATTCCGATAGCCATGGTAACTCCAGCCAGTGCCAGCTGGGGAAACGCCATTGCAGAATGTTCCGAAACCGAACCATATGCAGGAATAGATGTGTGAAAGCTATATATCCTTGCCACATGGGAAATGTTACTCGGCTATATGTATCGATCTATCCAGCTTCTGACTGCACTAAAGTGATGCACTACATTCCTATAGTCTTAAGCTTAAAGAGTCACCCTACCCCTATATACTCTAACTAAATATTAAAATTGCTATATTTTATTTTATTATTAATATTTATTTCTTAATTACAAAATACTTTTCAGCTTTGTTAAGCTTTAAGAAATCATAAAACGATATAAGGTTAAAATAGTTATGGCCTTGTAACACTTGCCGTATAAAAAATCATGGCCACCTTGAGAAAACCGGTTAACACCTTAACAACATTTCATAATTTAAGTGCTTTAGTCAGTTAGTTGAAATAAATATGCAAGTTTTTTATGACCATTAAAAAAATGTTCTATTTTTTAAGCCCTTTTTAACAGAATTCTTATTTTAATATTATATTATAATTAATTTTATTATTATAATAGTTCTTGAATTTATGATAAATCTTAAAAATTATATTGGTATAAAATAATACAAAAATTTGATTAAGTAATAAAATCTAATGACTACATTTATATTCAATCAAATATTTTTGATTCTAAAATTTTGCCTTAAAAGCAGGGTAGTAGCAAATGCGGGTTATTTGTCCTATATAACTTTTCTTATAGGGAAATTTTTATAATAGACACTTTAAAATGATATTTCACTAATCCGTGAGACACAACTTTACTGAAAGTAATAAACTCCCATTCTCCGTTTATGAGATCAAGCTCAAATGACTCGAACGGTTAAATGTACCCCGAGTGTAGAGCCCTTTCGTCGGAAGAGGTCCTGACTTTAGAACTAATAATCCGACAGCCTACAAGCGCCGGATTCCACCAAACAAAGAGCAGAAAAAAGGTGTAGCAAAAAACGAGAGAAGCCAGGAGAGTTCAGCATCTCTGCCGACGAAGGATATTTGCCAAGCAGGATAACCAGGGGGGGGATGTCGAGTGAGAAGGCAGGCTGTGGGAGCGGGACAGCTTGCAGCACATACCAATACAACGTAGCAGTCGTTCCACATCTAGCTTTTCGTCATTCTTGACATTTTGTGGTGAATTGTCGAAAGCCACAGGATATGTGCGCCAGTGTGCGTGCGTGCGGAGCGCCACTGCGCTTGTGTGGGTGTATCTGTGTGCGTGTGGGTGGTCTGGTTGCGAATAAAAAACAAAAATGGTGGACGGCAGGAAGTCCCCTCATTTGCTGTAATCGCATCATCGCAGGGGCACTGAAAAAAGGGCGTTTTCCGGTTGGTTACCCGTCACTCCTCTCCTCGCTCTCCTCCCTCCCTTTCTCTCTCTCTTTCTCTCTTTTCCAGGACACAGAACTCTACGGGAGAGGAAGGAGCAGAGTGGGTGGGATGCATGGTCCACCATCAAGGGATGAAATGTAACATTTGGTAGCTTTTCGTAAATTTTCGACTTTCATTTGGTTTCTACTTTTTTTTTTGTTTTTTTTTGTTCGTTTTGCTTTGCCCGGCTCTCGGTTTTTCCGTTCTCGCTTTTCTCTGCTTTTCATTTTCCCATCATCTCAGCTCGCTTTTCCGTTTGTGGCTTTGGTGTACCCCCACCCGCCCCTGAAGTGGGCGGTGGGTGGTGGGTTTTTGGCTGGTTACTGCCTTTGGCTTGGCTCGCCGCCCTCCTGTCAAATTGACTGCAAAAAAGGACCTCTCCTTGGCAGCTTCACTTTCGTAATTGGCGGTCTGTTCGCTGCTGGCTCTGCCAGCCTTAGCTTCCCGTTTCATTCGCAGTTGGTCCGTCAGCCCAGGCGATCCGTTTTCGCAATCGCAATCGCAATCGCATTTGCGTCCGCAGCAGGTTTCACAATTCCGATTCCAGCGGCAGCAAATCGCGTCGGCATCTGAACATCTATCTGAAAATCATTACCCCCTAATTTCCAAGTGACATTGTGCTTTCCGTAATACGAAAATTACCAACAAATCTCCAAATAGTCAAACACTATTCCCAATTTAAAGTGCGCTGTGTGGAACGTAAATCTAAGCAAACTGGATACATTAGGGTTCAAATATTTCCACCAACGGAAAATGGGCACAGGTACTGGAATCCGTCGGAATTTTCGATTTACTGCCGTTCGGGATACCGGCGGCACTTTGCATTATGCATTTTTGGGAATCTACAGCTGGTTGAAACTTATCATTAAATTCAAAAAGCGACCATGATCTTGATTTTTTTATTTTTATCAAGTTATTTTAAATACGGCTACACTTGTTGTTCGTTAATTCAAAAAGTTCTGCAGTGAGAAGGTTCCAACAAACAATTGTTGGTATCATTTACCAAAAATATGTACCCCTTTCTTACCAATAACGAATTACTTAGAACTACTCCTGTTACTGAAAAATTAATAATATCCTTAAGTTCACCCCTTAAAACTTAAAAGTGTGGGTAAAATCGTCTTATAGTTCAGCTAGTGTGAAGTGGACTTGTACTAGTTGGGAATTATAGTCGTACAAATGGAAGGAGTCATTTAACTTACAATTTTATACATTATGTTAACGGACTGTAATTTTTAAGAGCATTGAAAAATTTGAGCATTACAACATTTAATATTTCTTGAATTTACTGAATAATTAAAAATTTGACCAAAATTGGTCGGTTGGAGAGTTTTAAATGTAAAATTGTTATTTTTATTCTCCCCATAGGAACGATCGCGTAAAACTTTAAACATATTACTGTTTTAAAAATAATTTTAAACATTGTTTATTTAAATGACCCACTGAAAGTGGTTTTTATACTGTACATATACCGTAAAAAGGATACAAATTCTTTCTGATCCGTCTACTTTATCTTATAGCTACCGTAGGATCAATAGGACCAAATTTAAGAGCCATGTTAATAATCAAAACAATAATAATATTCACTAAAGGAAAAAATTAGTGGTAAACTTTTAAAGGGTATTAAATAAATTAAAATAGTTTTTTGAAGGATTGCTAACAGATTTTTCAATAAGGAAAGAAGTTTTATAGTCTTCTAAGTTTCAATTTTTGGTCCTTGCCAAATTCCAGCACTGCAGATAGTTATCCATTCATATTTGTCTGTATACCAGTGATCTATTGATCTTTAGATTGAAAACAATCCATACATCCGCTAAATTGATTCGATGCAACTCGGGATAAAAGCTAAATAACGTAAAGAACTCCAAAATTGTATTTTTAAAACTTCAAAACAATATTTTCGTCACTTTACTAAATGTTTTTTTCCAGCTTTTTTTAATGACTCGTCGAGTGCCTTGACTATCAGATACCCGTTACTCTGTTTCAAATTTAAATTATAATAAAATTCATCGCCACCTAACGGAGGGCAATCCTCACTTTCATGCTTTTGTAGTTTCCGAGATCTTCGATTAGGCTAGTGACACTGATCTAGATCAGAAGCGCTTTATTCTACCTATAACATACCTTCCGAGGAACACACAAAATAATTATAAGTATAACTATCTTTTTTTTCATAATCTTTATAAAGATATTATCGTTAATATACATGCTAGGGCTGAATGTACTCTGCTTCCGCTTCCGATATTGTCCCAGTTATTTTACTGGTTCTTGTTCTTTTTTTTCGGTTGGGTCACTTTGATTTAAAAAAAAAACCCATTTTAAAACTCTCACGCCGATAATGCAAAGCTCTCACGTTTTTCCCACACTCTACAGGCCTTTTGCCTATCTAAACATGTCCGAGATTTCCATAAAAATTGAGAAAGCATATTGTATATGGTTAATATAAAGACATAACCCACTCACTGGCAACTAGCACAAAAAAGGGGGCTCTAAAGTAGCAAGTGATGGCATAAATAAACAGAAATATGTAAAATCAACAATACCAAAATTTAAAAAAGAAAACAACGGGCTGGAAAAGGTCCGCTGGCAGAAGGTGTCAATGGGCCTTCAGATTCCGATTCCGATGCAACCCCAGAAAAGGACGACCACTCGAGAGGTGTTAACACGCTGCGGACAATTGCCGATCCGCAGGGTGTGAAAATTGGCAACACGCGCCAACCAAACTCGCACCGAAAAACCAAAACCCAGGGAACTCCACCAGCGACAATATGTCAAATGTCATAGGACAAAGGACCACAACAAAGGGCGAGCGTTTTATTTTGACAAGTGCCGAGTGTTGAACTTAATTTGCGAAGCGTGCCAGTCAAAGGGATGTCCTTGCCCGCCCTCCCTTTTACACACACACTCGCAGGATGAGAGGACGTGCGGGCCTTTTTCACAAGCTAATCCGCGACAAACACACTCGAAGCTGCGCCACAAAGTAGGCAACTTCTTTTGGGCGTGACTCACTGGTTTTCCTCGGGGGCGAAAAAGAGCTCGGCGGAAGCGGGCTTAGCGCCTAATAAAAGTTAAATACGCCAATGATTAAATGCATTTGTTGGCAACTGTTTCGACATGTGGCATTGTATATTTTAGCTTAATAATCTTCGGTAGGTAGGAAAAATCGAACCTTTTTGTCGGGTACAAGGCAATTTGTTTCGGAGACCATTCAGAAGATTAGAAATATAAATCAGAAAGAAATAAATATATTAGTAATCATTTTTGAAAACGTCCTTTTGGATGTTTTCAGATATATTTATTAGACTAATTATTTTCAGTAGGTAGGAGAACTGAAAAATCCAGCGTTTTAGTAATTGAGTTAAGAGCAAGCAAATGTATATTCCATTTTTAGAAATAATTATTAAAAATCGAATCAGTATCGTTGGATACATCTTTAAAGTCTCAAAAAATATTAGACATTTATTTAAGCAAAGACTACTAAATATTTTACTGATTGATTCAATATATAGGCCCTCTACCTCTACAAAAAAGAAAAAAAAGTTAAAATTACATTTTTCAAAAATAAATAAATGTAAATGTAATAAAATACGGTTAAAAAACAGGACTTACATTTTATGCCAGATATATCTTTTAGGGATCCTTATTAACTTATCTGTGAGTACAGACTCTACCACCAATTTTTTAAAATTAACTTTAGGACAATCCTTAAAGCTTATGTTTTCATTAAATTATACTTTATTAAATTTTTATTAGTACTTGGTATATCGCTTTATTGCTATTAATAGCTTTCTTTTAAACAAGTTCTCGCCAATGACTATATCCCTCTAAAGTATAATGCATCGAAATTAACGTGGGTATATACTTATCTGGCGAAAAAGTCCTAGATATGATCTTTTCCTTGGAAGAAGACAATTTTTTTCATATCTCCACCTAAAAAACATTTTTATTAAAATGGTTTAATTTAATCTGTAAAGAGAAAAGAGACATATAATCCATCCATTTCAAAGTTTCGATATTTCTCCGTATAATTTTTAGCGGGCGACCGTCTGTTGGATATTCCCTGTAAAGTGTGTGGCGATCGCAGCTCCGGAAAACACTATGGAATCTACAGCTGCGATGGTGAGTCCTAGGGACGATTGAATTAATAACAGTGTAAGCCTTAGCTAATTCCTTTCAGGCTGCTCTGGCTTCTTCAAGCGGAGCATCCATCGGAATCGGATTTACACCTGTAAGGCCACCGGCGATCTCAAGGGTCGATGTCCCGTGGACAAGACCCATCGCAACCAGTGTCGCGCGTGTCGCCTGGCCAAGTGCTTTCAGTCGGCCATGAACAAGGATGGTAAGTAAGCCACTGTCATTATCATCACTCTGTTCCCCAAAACAACGCTAAACTCTGTTTTCCGACCCACAAGTATTGTTTTACTTGCCAAATACACTTAATTATGCAGCAAATTAGCTCGAGAAGCCTGTTTACGTCAAGGTTTTTGGGCATAAATTACATTAAACGGTAACCGAAATGCCGTCGGCATCCTTCTCTCCTACAGTTGTGGCCAGACTCTGAAAAACGCCATTTGAATTTTGGCTGAATTTGTCATTAAGCTGATTATAAATTATGCGAGCCCCAATCCTGTGGTCGTGCCTCGGGGGCGAAGGACTTAATGGGGGAAAAGTGTTGAATTTGATTTTTGTAAGCTACACCAAGGGAAAAATGGTAGACCGGTTATTATTTGAATAAATTATAAAACTTGCGAAATTTTAAGTGAATGGATAGCAAAACTTGTGGGCTTTATTATACTGCTTAGATATCTACATAATTGGAAGATAAATATTACAATTTAAGTAATAAAGAATACGTTTATTGTAAGTCTTAACTTATTAAGATACAACGTTTATTGCAACTTACATAAGTTACTAAAAATGTTTTTAAGCTAGCGTATTAAAATATTTAATTTAGCGACTGCCATTATAGGTAGAAGTGGAAACTTGAACTGTACACATCCATTTTGCTTTGAAAAAAGAAAATGAATTGATATATGTTCGAAACTGAAAAGCCAAAAAAATCTACGATAACGTGTTTGTTACATTTTAGTATTCAACGATAACTGTGAATGATTCCAGAAAAGTTTTTTAGCGGATTACTTTTGGGCGTGGCACTAGAATTTTAAAATCATTTGAATTGAAAAGAATTCGGAATTGGAATTCATTTTAGTACTTGGCCATGTGACGTTCGTTTGTTAATAAGATTTAAAAAACTATCATAAAGCACAGCGATTTTTAAATACCAAAGCACTTTAAATGTTTTTCACAAAAATATTTAAATACTTTAGTGTCTACTTATTTAAAAAAAAAAACGAAAAAACACAAAGTATCAAAAATGAATCCTAAAACGTAATTTGTATTGCAGCAATTCCACAACCTAGCAACCAAATAGCCACATTTGGATATGAAACACTAAACCCCCTTCCAGCCGGTAATCGGTAGTCGGATAGCCATAACCAAACCGAATACACAGCTCAATGCAACAATGCTAGCTTTAAAGCTCTTAAGCCAACATTAAATGTAGCATAAAAACACATAATAGCGACGAACATTCTTGGTATCAACCGTTGGGATGGGTGCGGACTTTATCCAGGAGCCAAACCCATCTCATGGATGCCGATTCGCATTCGGTATTCAGTGTTCAGTGTTCAGTATTCAGAAGCTACCATTGATGGGTTCACTGCACAGAAGAGACGGGACTGGAACAGCGTGAGAATCATTGCAGATTTTCTCGCACGCAAGGGCCACTCTTTTTTGGGGTGGAGTACTGGAACTCCGACTGGGCGTGAGGGTCGATTGACAATGTGCACTTAATAGCGGATTACACGCATTATCCGCTCGCTGAAAATGCGACTAAAATGTATTGACAATCAAGTGATGATGCCCAAAGCTCGAACTTAGACGTCAGTCAACCCGAGGACCTTCGGAGCGATGGTGGCTTGTGGACTCAACTGATGGGTGGGGATTGGTAGAGAAGGGTCTGTATCCAGCTAACCACCACCCAACTGAAAACTAGAGCACCCCACAAAAAAAGCACAACGAGTAAAAAGTACAAATCAAATGGAACTACTATATACCGATGAAAACCGATAACCGACGATGATATTCTCTTAACCAATTGTTCGTGGAAATTGCAGTTAAGATCGGTAATGTTAGCATAAACTCTAAAAAGGTATAGGATTCTTAAACTTACAAGAAATTTTGGATGCATAAACCTTTATAACAAATATTGTCATAATATCTTTCATTTCTAAGCATCAAAAACAAGTATATTTACAATAATGCTACACAATATTGTAATAATACATAGAAAAAATGTTTAGGCCGATCCCAAATCTTATTTTCTTAAAACAGTAAACGGTTTTTAACAGTTCCGAAAAGTAGTTTGCTTATCTAAAGTCAAAATAGTATGATAATTCTAAAAAACGTCGACGTATGTTTGGCTTGTGTGTAGGTTTCTCCGTTTCATGACGGTTTTTCAAATGTTTTTTGCTGCCAAAAATAACCAGTTTTTCATAAGTTTTCCACAAAATTCCGGAAAGCTGAGAAACATCACAACAATAGCAGGGATATGAGCATGTTGCGATATGTACATCCATGTTCCTCACATTCCTTGCGATATTTTCTTAGTTTGCCGCTACAAAGCCTCATGTTGGGCTGCCTTTTTGGGGTTTTTCTTGGCTGGTTCCGTAAATAAATAACAAACACACACGGACGCCAAACAATTCACACATCTTCCACAAACCTCACACCACACTGCTCCCATCCCATCCCATCTCACATAGATGAACCCCCAGAAAAATGGTCCGCCCTAACGCCATTGTAGTATCCTCAGACAAAATGCTTTTGTTGTTTAGAGCAGAAAGCAAAAAAGCCACAAAAATCGTTCAAGGCACGTTTGTGTAACATTTTTGTGAGTTTAGGTTGGATGGGGTCATGCGAGTAGTAAAGTTGTTGGGGGTTCGCTGGAGCTGATGACAGTGGTGGTGATTGAAATGAGTTCCGGCAGCGGTTTGGCGTTCTTAGTTTTCTTAGTTTCCGTTTGGCGTGTAAGTGATTTTTCGATTGCGACTCCAAAGGCAAATAAAGTTAATTGCAAAGGTGATAAAAGTTCTGTGCTCTTTAAGTAGCTATTTATTTAGTAAAAGGGATTTTATTAAAATACTTTTGAGCAGTTTGGGTGACAAAATTGTTAAACCAGCGACTAAGAACTAAGATAAAAAAAATATATTTTACAAACATGTTACTCGATCTCAAAAATTCAAAAAGCGATTCAATCTCTAGTTCTCAAAATTAAAACTAAGTATTTAGACCGTATATATGTCATCTGTGCTATAAAATCGATTCTTTTCTAAAAATAAACTCGAAATAACTTTCGCCTTGAAATCAAGAACGTTTCTCCTCGAATAAGTGAGAAGAAATTCTTCTTTAATATGCGAACACTTTATTTCGGCATCTTTTTCGTTATGGTTTCATGTGCTGATGCTTAGTTTATGACCTATTTTAGGTGTAGAAATCGTCTCAATAAATAAATATTTTAAATTTCCGGGATGGTTATTTTAAAATGCAGATTGAAGTACACCTCATTCCCCTTCGAGCAAGTGTCAATTTGACAGTTTTGAGCTGACCAATCAGCATGCCACCGCACTTTAGGGCTGACAAATAAGTTATTATGGGAAAATATGACGGTCGTCGCACATTTCGCTGTCAAAGCTTTCTGAACCCAAAACTGCCTTCCACATCCTATGTCGATGACAGAATTACAAATGTTGGCTACTTTGTATGCTAATATCCTGGGGAGGATACGAATTGAAGGACGGAGGAAAAAAATAAAAGGAGACGACAAGAGCTCTCCTTACAAATTATGTTGCCACTTGTCACATTTAATGGTATTTGCATTTGTATACACCAAAGTGTCAGCATCATCAACACGCATACCTTATACTTTCATAAACCCCCAGACGGTTTTTTACTTTCTTTTTCTTTGCCAATATTTACGCGGCGATTTAAGCGGATTTCTCATTTTGAGTGATTTGTGTCGCTTCTCGAATCCCATTCTTAGAAGGCGCTTTTCAGTTGAGAACTGCCAAGTGGGGGTGTGATAATGATGGGGTCATTATTCCCCTGGGTGTGTGATGAGCCGAAAAGTGATACGTAATGATGCTTATAATGGCCAAGACGAAATGTGTAAATAGTCTAAACGGGGACATTTCACAATGAAAAGTAAAAATATAATAAATTGTACTTTCCTTAGGATAATTTTCCATTGTACCTACTTTATTTACTTTACTTTTATTTTAAAAAATTACTTTGTGTATTCAATTGTTTGATTGTATTTTATTTGATAAAAATTTCGAAGTCGCATGTGCATTCTATGTGGCCTTATATGATTGCCTTCATAACTTGATGTTCTTAACATTTAATATATTTAAGTTAAAATGAACTTAAGTTTTCTGCTTGAAATATTAAAAAATTAGGAAAATTTAAAGTAGATAATGGAAATTGGATCTTTTCATTTCTTTTCTTTTAAAAATATTTCTAAATGTAATCGTTTCAAGTGAAAAATCAATTTTGTCATATCGGGTATCATTCTCATCAACTTTATTTACATTAATTTTATCTAAAACAAGAAAGATCGCTATAGTCGACGGCCTCGACCCGTAAGTCAGTTAAAGGTAGTGCGAGGGAGATGGAGACATGCATGCAGCAAATCGCCTGTTTCCGAGATTGCACTCTTTATTTGCATATAACTTTAATGAATCGTCCGATTTAAACAATTTTTGGCAAGGTAATAAAAAAAGGTATTAAAAAATGTGGGCTTTAGACAGGCTTTGGCATTACGGGCGTTTGTGGACGTTATAGTGGGCGAGGTTCCATCTGTAGCCTTTATAGTTTCCGACATCTCAGCGTTCATACGGACGGACAGACCGACAGACGAGTAACGGGCTTAAAAATTGTATTAATATTTAATTTTTCAAATTTTTTAAAGAAGTTTCATCAACATTGTTGTTCGATTTACGAATCACCTTTGATCTTTTATGTTCATCCGAATCCATTCATCTCAGCTTGAGTCGATGTGTACTAACTTTAACTTAAGCGCTTAACGAAGGCAACTTCCTCCGCTTGCGTTTCTGTTAAGGATTAAACAAGGCAAGACGGTGCCAACAGAGACAAACGGCAGATAGAATCCAAGTGGTCGAGCGGAGAAGAGACCTTTTCCAAGATTTAGCCAAGTGTAAACCCATCGAAAGGGACTGCAAAGTGGAAGTGTTCTTAGTTTCTATTTCTGTTGGTGTGGCG